TAGGATTATAGGCACACACCACAGTGCCCAGGTATTTTTTTTTATTTTTATTTTTGTATAGACAGGGTCTTGCTATGTTTCCCAGGATGGTCTTGGACTCCTTGTCTCCAGCAATCCTCTCACCTTTGTCCTCCCAAAGTACTGGGATTACAGGCATGAGCCACCATGGTTGGCCTGATTTTAAAAAACCTCTTTTATCCCTTTTTTTCTTCATTTTCAAGTGAGTTTTTAATGTGTACATTTTAACTAGAACTAGCTGAAGTATACAAGAAAAAGAAGATTTCTAAGTAGGCTTGAATTAGTAATACCATAAGCAGTGAGTTTTAGCTCAAGACCAATAGACAGCAGATTTAGAGTAGGCAGAAAAGAAAATAGAGAGATAGACAAAGAACTTAAAAAGACTTGACCTTTTAACTCTATAGTTGCAGGTTAAATGTTTGAGCTCTTTCCTTGATGTAATTTGCCCCATCAGTTTAAACATGTGCTCAAGAATAGACTGACCATAATATATAACCAGCTAGAATCCTAGAAAACCCGACAAGACTTTGAACCTTTCCATTTAAACAAATACTTTCAAGTATAGGTACCATAAACCAACTGGGGTGCCTAAAGGGGGTCATTCTTGTTTTTCCTCATTTTTAGAGTATTTGTTTCCTACTTTTTTTCTTTTTCTTTTTGTAAAGAGGAACTGAACTGTAATCTAGGGTTTAGAGTAGTAGAGCTGAGAAGCCCAGTCTCTCATCTACAAAAAGGGCAGTTCAGTTTTTTGCCCAAATGAGCAGATGAGCCAATTGAGATTAATTTTGAGAGGAAGAGGCAATGGAGAAGACTCTTTAATATGCATCTCCAAATCAAAATTAGGATCCAAAACAACTCCTTGGGAAAAGAACAGAGAACTCAGAATAAAGCAAGGACCATCAACCAAGACCATGAGGTCCAGAGCTCAGGAGGATGTACCAGTTTAACCCAAGGAGGAGCTCAGAGTTGGGGGGCTCAAGGGGAGACATCAGTACCTAGTACCATGTTTGGGCTACTCCTTTGGGAGGTCCCCAGTCTTCTCTGAGCCCCATTTTGGGCACGAGAATTAACAGACAAAAAAAATGAACTATAAAATAATTTAAAGAGGTTTATCCTTGGAAAATGTGAATGATCATGGCTCAGGGATCCACAAATCCAAGAAGCCTTGAGTAATTAGTCCCCTGAGTAAGTAATTTACCTGCAGTTCCCGTCTCCCTAAAATGCATGAAACCAAACTGTAACCCAGCTGCCTCAGGACCACTTACTCAGGCTTGGATTTGTGGATCCTTGGGCCATGGTCACTCATCTTGTCTCAGAATAAACCTCTTTAAATTATTTTACAGAGATTGTTTTTTTCTGTTAACAGAATTTTAACAAATATTTGAATCCCCAGCTTGTTCCAAGCAATGTATTAGGTGTTGAGACTACAAAGATGTGTAGCACATGACCTTTGTTCATGGGAACTAATAGTGTATTGGAGAGGATATTGAGCAAGTGCCTGCAGTAAAGCGTTTTGGATACTCTGTAGGGAAAACAGTGGGTTTCAAAAGGAATGGTTAATTCAGCAGAATTGAGGATGGAAGTCACTTGGAAAGGTTTTAAACAGGTCATACTTGAATCTTATATACAGTAAGGTAAGTAGAAGTAGGGTAGTTGAATAGGCCTGGAGGGTGTATTTCTAGAAGAGAGATGTACCTGAAGAGAAAAATGCTGTTTGGATCATAGAAGGTCTTACATGTTGTATACTGTATTAATTAGGACTTTATGTTGTAACTGAGAGATCAGCTTAATGGTAAAAAAAAAAAAAAAAGAATTACATTGGCTCACTAATGATGATAGCATCAGAATTTTCTATTTCTTGTTTCAGCAAGTACCTTTTGTCAGCCTAATTTCCTTAGAATCCATCATGAGACAGAGAACACGTCAACTAGAAGCTATGATGTAATTTCCTTACAGTTCATCACTTAAGGTGAAAGAGCAAATTTCTCACATAGTATCTCTTTATAAATCCCAGTACTGATCGACTCTAGCATTGGTACATGCCATCCCTGACAGTCATTATCAGTGCTTAGTGCATTGCTGAAATGGCATATACATACCAATCTCTGTACACTCTCCCATATACTTTTTCTAGGGGCAGAAAAAGCAGTCTGCATTTGTTTGCAGAGTTTTAAGTCTGAACAACTTTTAGAGCTGGGCCTTTTTAGCTCTAATATATTAGGTTGAACCACGTGAAACTGTCAAAATTCAACCACTTTTGACCTACAAAATAAGGCAATTTCATATGGTTCAACTTAAAAAGACAGTAACATCTCTCTGGCTCTAAGTCAGCCTTGTGATGTCTCTATGCCATGTTCTTAGCATGAGTCAAAGTTCTTTCCCTGTCCTCTGATCTGTAGAATCCCATGTAGAAAGCAGTTTGTACCTGTGTGGTTCCAAAGCCCACTTGATTGTCAGTGTCAGAGTAGCAGCTAAGTCTCTCTGCTCTGTGATGTAAGAACACTGCAAGCCTCCTATTGACCTCCTTTATTAAAGACTAGTTTCCAGCCATTAATTTTACTAGGTATTTTTACTCCCATTATCTAGTGAATTCATATAATCTTGTATCAATCTGGTTTTCCACCTGAAATTATTCATTCACTCAACCAGTTTTAATCAAGAATCTACTATGTGCTAAATTTTTATTAAGGACAGTGGGGTATTGGGAATACAGAAGTAAACAAAGTCCTTAATTTCATGGAGCTCACATTCAAGAGGGAGACAAATAAAGAAATATACGTAAGGCCAGGTATGGTGGCTCACACCTATAATCCTAGCACTCTGAGAGGCCGAGGTGGGAGGATCACTTGAGCTCAGGAGTTTGAGACCAGCCTGAGCAAGAGCAAGACCCCAACTCTACCAAAAATAGAAAAAAAAAATTAGCTGGGCATGGTGGTACCAGCTACTTGGGAGGCCGAGGCAGGAGGATCGCTTGAGCCCAGAAGTTTGAGGTTGCAGTGAGCTATGATGATGCCACTGCACTCTAGCCAGGGCAACAGAGCAAGACTCTGCCTCCAAAAGAAAAAAAAAATATATATACACACACACACACACACACACACACACACATACATGCGCGCGCACGCGTGCGTCTGTGTGTGTGTGTGTGTGGTGGTGTTAAGAGCACTGAAGAAAAATAAAACAGTAAGAAGAATGCCGAATGGCATACTGAATGAGAATGGAAGTACTTCCTATTATGTACTTTCTTATTGTTTTTCCCCACTAGAATATAAACCTATGAAGCCATGGATTTTGTCTATTTTGTTCCTTCTCTATCACCAGCGGTAGAACAATGCCTTTGTGTCCTAGAACAAGTGTATGGGAGAGTGGACAAACACTGGGATTCATCTGCCAAATTCATGAATACTCTATAGCAATTTAGTAAGAAGTGCCTTTGCCTTCTTGGTCCAGCTGAAGAAATAAGAAAACTATTTGACAGGTAGCTGTAGAACAAAGTGGAAACCCAGAAGCTTCTTAACTGATTTTGTAAGAGAATAATTGGCAGCCAGGAATTCATGAACAACTAGTTCTATCCAGGCTAATACATACCATTTTGGGATTGTATTAGTTAGCTCAGGCTGCCATCACAAAAGACCACAAACTGGGTGGCTTAAACAATAGAAATTTATTTTTTCACAGTTCTGGAGGCCAAAAAGTCAAAGATCAAAGTGCCATCTGGGTTAGTTTCTGGTGAGGCTTTTCTTCCTGACTTGTGGATGTCTGCCTTTTTGCTGTGTCCTCACATGGCCTTTCCCCTGTGTGCATGTTGAGGAGAGAGGACAATCTCTGGTGTCTCTTCTCGTTTTTCTTCTCTTTTTTAAATAAGGATACCAGTCATTTTAGATTAGGGCCCTACCCTTAAGACCTCATTTAACCTTAATTACCTTCTGAATGCCCCTATCTCCAAATACAGTCACTTTGAGGTTAGGGCTTCAACATAGGAATTTTGTTGGTACACAATTCACTCCATAACAGGGTCATAAACATTACATGTTATTAATTTTTTGTATATATCCTGTCTGTGAACACAACTCTTTCATTCTTTTCAGGTATGATACATAATGAGGCTGATACGGAACTTGTGGGAACATAGCCGTCTCAGCCTCAGTATGTACCTTGGAAGGCAAAGTTAAGAATGGGGCCTGGAGGAAAAGACGGTTTTCCTAGGACTAGAAGTACCCCTGGTTATTAACCCTGGCCTTGTTTGTTTTAGGTACTTATTGGTTGTTGCATGATGAGACAAGTTGGGAATGTAGTCAAAGTTAGTTTCTTTTTTACATTGCTTCGTACTCCAAACAAAGGCACCACTCAGCTAGCTTAGCCCCAAGCTCTACCTTTGCCTTCCTTCGCTAAAGCCCCTTGCTGAGAACACCCAAGAGGCAAATGGTGACATTTTTTAAATGTGCCCTTGATTCCTGATTTTAAAACCTGCCTTCTGTTTAGATTACTGTCGCCCACAAAATCTAATAGTCATAAACGTATGACCCATACTCAATTTTCAAAAACTCAAGTCCTTTACTTGTCCATCTTGGATTTTACGCAGGAAATACATAATTTCCCCAGGTGATGACGATAACGACATGAAACTACTTTCCCCTAAGTCCTCTTTATTGTTACAACGTTGTTAATATCATAAATAAAATTTGGAGGCAAACGAAAACGGAGAAATCAGAAACTACACTTTTACCTTATTCAGTATTTTTTAAACTGACAAACACGAAAAAGCAGTATCAGTAAGTTAAAGAGCTGTTGTCAAGTTCCACCTTCCGCCCTCTGCAGAGGCGTAAAAACAGAACCCAAATCCACCTAGAACTGATCCACAAACTCAAATCTACTTCCCCGACCGCAGATGCAGCGCGATTGGCGCTGGCACATCATCTGGAAACGCCTCACCACGTTCTGCGACGAGGCCGGAAGTGACGCATAAGTCTGCGACGCCAGTGCTTCCCTTCGCTGCAGCCTGAGCCGGGTTTCAGTCGCTCCAGAGACAGCGGACTTTCCTCGCATGTTTGCAACAGAGGGATCATGACGGGGAAGAAGTCTTCCCGGGAGAAGCGGCGCAAACGTAGCGGTCAGGAGGCATCTGCGGCGCTTGCGGCCCCAGACCTCGTGCCTGTCCTTGCCAGCGGCGGCAGTGGAAGTACCAGCGGCTGCGGGAGCGTCAGCTGCTGTGGGAACGCCAGCTTCAGTGGAAGTGTCACCGGTGGTGGGAGCGGGGGCAGCTGCTGGGGCGGGAGCAGTGAGCGTCGGAAGCGGAGGAGCACCGACTCATCCTCCAGCGTCTCGGGCTCTCTGCAGCAGGTGCGTGCGCGCCCCTCTCGTCGCTTGCCGGAGCTGCTTTTTCGGAAGAAGCGTGGCTACCGGCGGGGTAGGGTGCCGGCTGGAGCTAACTAATTAAGTGTGGCAGTCCCAAGTGTTCACTGGTGCTTGAGGTTCATCGTCCTAAATTCTGGCGAACCTTTCACTCTCATGTCTTGAACTTCTAGTTTCTGGATTTAATCATCAGCTAACTTTTTTTTTTTTCTTTAAACTTTTGGCCCCTTCCACTCCTGTGATCTCAGTCTCCTTGAAGAGTGTGGGTTGGAAGCTAGCTTTCGTTGCCCTGGGGAGCCAGACGCTTTACTTCTCTCTTGGCCTTCGCCTTTTAGTAGATTATGGTTAACTTCACATTGCAGATGAGAAAATTGAGGCCCAAAGGGGTTAAGGAACTTTACCCAGGGTCACAGTTTGTTAATAGCTCCTAGACTTGAATTCGATATCTGACTCTACAAAAGCCATGTTCATTATGCGCCATCAAACTGCCAAGATACCAGTGTCTTAAAAAATACTTTATAATTTATTATAAAACAAATGAACGAATTATACTTTAAATTCATTCAGTACAGAAATCAAGGGAAAAGCGTGGAGTCCTTCGTGTTTCTGCGTTAATACTTTTGATATGCAGCCCTTTTTATTAGCCTTTGTCTGATCTGTGTATTTAAGTTCCTACACCTAAACTTAATTGTCATATTCCCTCTATCGAATACCACTGCGTTGTTGTGATAGGTTTCTTTTTATGTGTGGTATGTTGTTTTTTAGTGATGGCCTGGTGTTCCATTATATCTTTATTAATGAATATTTAGGTTTCCAGTTTTTGTTATTACCGTATGAAAACAAACAGTTTTGTACATATATCTTGTGCAAGAGTTATGTTAGAAAAGAGTCTTAGGAGTGAAATTGCTGGGTCAAAGTTTATGCGCTTAAAAAAAAAATTTGGTGGATGTCACCAAATACTTTCCAAAGAAGACTTTGCTGATTCATAGTCCATATAGTACCTGTGTGAGAGAATGACCATTTCTGCAAATTTTCACTAACATTTGATAATACATTTTTTTAAAACTTTCCCAGACTAATGGGTCAAATTAATATTGCTTTAATTTATATTTTCCTGATTAATAGATTGATCATTGTTATATTTTTATATGCCATTTAATTCCTTCTTATGTAATTTTCTATACATATCCTGTGCCCATTTTTCTCTTTGATCGTTTTCAACTTTTCACTGATAAAGTTCTAATATCTTTTCATAAAATCTTGATTCTAATTCTTTGTGTGGAGTATATTGCAAATGTTGTTATAACTTGTCCAGTATGTACTGAATTGAAGCCTTTGATTTCTTTGTAGTCAAAGCTAATATTTTTCTTTGCCATCTAGATTTTGTGTATTGTTTAGAAAGATCTTTCCTATTCCAGGATCATACAGGATTATGAAAGTATTCTGTATCTTCTAATGCTTTTTTTTTTTGGAGATAGGGTCTTGCTCTATTGCCCGGGCTAGAGTCAAATGGCATCATCATAGCTCGCTGCAACCTCAACCTCCTGGGCTTAAGCAGTCTTCCTAGTTCACCCTCCCTAGTAGCTGAGACCACAGGCCTGCACCACCATGTCCAGCTAATTTTTTAATTTTTTATAAAGACAGGGTCTCACTGTGTAGCTCAGGCTGGTCCCGAACTCCTGGTCTCAAGCAATCCTCCTGCTCTGGCCTCCCAAAGTGCTGGGATTACAGATGTGAGCCACTGTGCCTGGCCTCTTTTCATGCTTTTTAACATTACATTTTAAAATTGGGAGTTGTGGAAGCATAGAAGTCCATTTATTTTTATATGTTTTCTTGTTCCTAGCTATACTATTTATTATTAGTTTGAAATTGATTTTCAAAAAAATTTCTGCTAATAATGAGTTCTGTCTCGTTTTTGGAACTACCATTTTTTTGTTTTTTGCATGACCAAGGACTTCTAGGGTAGTATTGAACAGTAGCAGTGATAATAGGCATTCTTTTCAATCTTTTTTTAGTGGGAACATTTCTGATGTTCCAGCAATAAGTATACTTGTCATAGGTTTTGAAAAATGCATTTGATCGGGTAGGGAAATTTTCTTCAATTCTTATTCACTGGGGATTGTAGAGTTTTATCAGATGGTTTTCTGACATTCTGTTGAGATGATCACATAGTTTTTGTCCTTTAATTAGATAGTGTAATTTGATTGATAAATGACTGATAAATTAGTTAATGTTGAATTGTCCTTGCAGTCTTGAGATAAGTTCTGTTTGGTTTGTTGGGCTGGTTTGTTGTACTTGGCTGGAATTTGATATTTTTACTTTTGTGTAAATGTTTCTAAATTAGATCATCTTATAGTTTTTATTTTTGTTATGGATTGAGTTGGGAGACTTTGTATTTTTTGGTGTGTTCCAGAATGGTATATATCTTCTTTTCAAATATTCGTCGGAACTTGACCATTGGATCATTCAGGTGTCTGGATCTGGTGGGGTTTTTTAGGGGTGGTTTTTGTTGTTTGTTCATTTTGCTTTTTGTTTTTTCTTTTTTTGTTAACTCTCTTTAAAAAAATCTTGTAATAGTTGTAGATCCATTCACTTCTTCCACTAGTTCTAGATTCAGTTTTGGATATCACCATTCTTATCTTAAATGGTTTCCATATCTCTAATGCTCTATCATGATGGGGACACAAACAACATTAAGTATTGAAAACATTTGCATACAAAACTAAACCTAACTTCTAATGAAATGTAAGTGTGTTTATGAAGAAGAAAAAGTTGTTGCATATTAGGCATGTCAATAACATCTCCTGAGAGTGCCATATCTGTTGTTTATTGAGTTCCCTATTTTTTGTAAGAAATTTATTGAAGTACAGTTTTCATACCATACAATTCACCCATTTCACATGTACAGTTATGTGGTTTGGGGTTGTACAACCATCACTACATTCAATTTTAAAATATTTTCATCACTCCAAAAAGAAACTTTATGTTTACCTTGTAGCTATCATCCTTAATACTCACTCCCACCCCTAGGTAATCACTGATTTATTTTTTGTCTCTACAGATTTACAGATTTCCCTGTTCTGGAAATTTTTTATGAATGGAATCATATAATGTATGGTATTTTGTGTCTGGCTTATTTCACTTAGCATAATGTTTTCAAGGTTCATCCATATTATAGCACATAGGTTCATTCTTCTGTAGCACAAAGGTTCATGCCTTTTTATGGCCGTGTATTATTTCATTGTATGGCTATACCACATTTCGTTTCCATTTATCACTTAATAGACATTTGGGTTGCGTCTACTTTTTGGCTATTATGACTAATGCTTCTGTGAACATTTGCATGTAAGTTTTTGTGTGGACATGTGGTTACATTTCTCTTGGGTGTGTATCTAGGAATGGAGTTGCTGGGTAATCTGATAACTTTTTGAGGAACTGACAAGCTGTTTTACTTCCAGAGTAACTGTACCATTTTATGTTCCCACTAGCAATGTATAAGGGTTCCAGTTTCTCCACATTATTACTTTGTAAGCCATTAGAACAAGACTTTACCTTCTTTACTTTTTCAGTCTAATTATTATAGTATTCTTTAAAGCCGGCCCATTTTTAAACAATTCCATTAAAAAATATAACAAACCTATGTGACCTATATGGTCAAGGATGATTTTCCTGAGGAAATGACTTTTGAATTGCTATCTGAAGTATCTGAATTTGTTGTTAATCTTGTGAGTATAGTGTGGTAGAAAGGGGGAGGAAAGACTGTCTTAGGCAGAACATTATGCAGAAGCTTGCCTATATGAGCTGAAGGGAGGAGAACAGGTTACATTCCAGTAATTCAAAGAAGATGGTTGTGTTCAGAACACAAAGAATGAGCATGAAGGGCCACGTAGGCCATATGACCCTAAGAGCAATAGGAAGTCATTGAAGCATGTTAAACAAGAAGAAATGAGTAAATATGCATTTTATAAAATGCATTCTGCTAATAGTATACAAAGCAGAGACCTCAAATTAGATGCAGCGAGTCCAGTTAAATGGCTGTTGATGTAACCCAGGCAAAGATCGTGGTAGTTTGGACCAGGATTATGGCAGTAGATTGGGAAGGACAGGATAGATTTGGAAAAGCAAAGTTAAAATTGACAAAAATGCTTAAATTACTGATATTATATTACTTGGTAACTCCGAACATGATTAAATTATACAAAGTTTTTTTTTTTTTAAATGGTAATAGCTCCTGGAAAACATATTAACTTTACCGCATAATATTTGTAACATTTTTACTGCCATTCCATTTCTTTCTCTGAATTTAAGTAGAATGACATTGCATACGCAAAGCTTTTGGGTGAATGGCTACCTGAAGGAATATCCTAATTCTTCAAAATTCTGAAATTGTAGGAAATTATTCAATATTGGATACATTTTCATTTGTATGTTCTAAGATACTATCTCTTCCCTTGATAGCTATTCCTTGAGTTAACTGCAGTATGGAGAGTAAATATTGAACAAGCAAATATTCTTTCTCTGGTTTTAGACAAATAACTGCAAAGAATTCGGGAATTTTTAATGAAGAATTTATTAAATGAATATATTCTATATATTTTAAGTAGTATTATTTAATGATTCTTTATTCTTTTAACTTTAGGAAACCAAGTATCTTTTGCCAACTTTGGAAAAAGAATTATTCTTGGCAGAACACAGTGACCTTGAAGAAGGTGGACTGGACCTGACTGTGTCATTGAAACCAGTTAGTTTCTATATATCAGACAAAAAAGAAATGCTTCAACAGTGCTTCTGTATCATAGGAGAGAAGAAGTTACAGAAGATGCTTCCTGATGTGTTAAAGGTGCTTCATTACATATATTATCAGATATATACACATATATAGAAATACAACCTCTATAACAATCATTTTACTCACAGCAGTTTATAATTGGATGTTTTCACCTAAAACAAGCTGTTTGAAAAGATATAAAAAAGGGATTTTGGAGAACCATGAACAGATTTGTATGTTTAAAAATTTGCCAAGAAAAATGCTTAGGCAAGAAATTTATTGACGCTATGGAAATAACTCTATTAAATGCAGGCAGTGGTAGTAACTAAATTGAACGTGTAATGAAGCTTTCTGGTGCTTCAAGAAATAATATAATGATATGCTGCTGTGTAACAAAACACAACAATGGTTGGCAATAGCTTATATTTCTTTCAGTTTACAAGTGTTTTTATATATTTATTTCTAAAAATTATTTAGGGAAATGTATATTATCCTGATTTTATAGTTGTGGAAATAGGCCCTAGACAAGTTAAGCCCAAGATCATATATCTAATGTGTATAGAGCCAGGACTTGAATATTTAAAACTTTAGAATAATTACCTAACATAAATATACTACTATTAAGAATACGTAGGAAACTGACTTACTTTTTAATTTATTATTTCATAGTAAACGTGACTTTATGTATTCCCATCAAATCTCTAAAATGTTCACATACTAACTGACAGTTTTTCAGATTTCAGTCCATGGAAAGATTATGTGAATCTACTTGAGGCTTTAATTTGTTTTATTAAGATTTTCCTAACTGGAATTTTTTTTGTGATTGCAATTTTCCAGTTTACATTGGAGCTATATTACATAAATGCTTTTTTTTTTTTTAAATGTCATTTGCTTTAGAACTGTTCAATAGAAGAAATTAAAAAACTATGCCAGGAACAGTTAGAGCTTCTGTCTGAAAAAAAAATCTTGAAGATTCTTGAGGGTAAGATGCATATTTCTACATTCTGGTAATTTATTAGTTAATACTATTAATATATTCAGCATAAATCCTGCAGTATTCTTTCTCTTACTTGGATATTACTTTAATTTCATTATTGGATATTCATCAAAGAGTATTTTTACTTCCATTTGTACTGAGAAATATAGTTTATATATCAGAATGGCATTTCAAGAGTAGACTTGATGTATAGTTTTTCCAAAACAACTGTATAGGTAAGAGCATAAGTAGTAAAATGAAATAACAAAATTTACCAAAAATTAACTATTGAGAAGGCAATGATTTCTGTTACAATAATTTTTTAGGGCTAGGTGCAGTGGCTCACGCCTGCAATCCTTGCACTTAGGGAGGCCAAGGCAGGAGGGTTGCTTGAGCCCAGGAGTTCAAGACCAGCCTAAGCAACATAGTGAGACCCATCTCTACAAAATAATAGAAAAATCAGTGGAGCATAGTAGTGTGTGTTTGTAGTCCCAGCTACATGGGAAGCTAAGGTGGGAGGATTGCTTGAGCTTAGGAGTTTGGGGTTGCAGTGTGCTATGAGCTAAAAAAAAAAAAAAAAAAATTCTAATTTTCTGCTTTATAAACTTTATATAATAGCTTTTAGTTACCAGTTACACACTATTTCTACTCTAATAAGACCCAGATGCAGAGTTAGAATAATTCCTTGCAATTTGCCAACATTTGTATGTCTGCCTGAAGCATGACTACTCTGTGATACTGATACGTTTAGAATTTTGGATTTTCAGCCATTTTTTTTTTCTTTTGGAACTTTACAATGATTTTAGCATTAGCATCACAGAAGAAGAAACAAAAAATGGAGGCTTTCAATTTCCAGAGATAACTTCATTTTTAAATATAAAATGGATTTATGGAATTTTGTAACTCTGGAAACAGTTGTATACATATGTGTGTAGTCTGTAAGTATATATATGCACATTCTTGTGTGTGTATATATACAGATAAAGATAGATATTCTTGTGTATTCATATAGATAAGGGGAAGGCAATGAGTAATACCTAATAAGGCATTGAAAAAACTCATTTTTTAAATATAAGCAATTAAAAAGGTAATCTTTTAACAACTATAAAGTTCTTTAATGTGCATCACTTTTAAAGATGAGTGTTTTTTATGCAATGATTAAATCATTTTGATTCCCCCCCCCATAAGCATGCTTTTAATAGTTTATTTCATTTATAAGGTGACAATGGACTGGACTCTGATGTGGAAGAGGAGGCAGATGATGGCTCTAAGATGGGGCCTGATTTAGTCAGTCAGTAAGTTAAAAAACTTTGATTGTTATTTCAAAATTTCTTTGTTACTCCTTTGGTGATTTCTTATGTCAAGGATGGATTGTTTTTCTGTGTATTATTTATAAAATAATTCGGTGTAGAAGGATTGATTTGTTTACTTACTATGATTGGTCCTTTTGGTATACATGAGGATGGACTTAATTACTTTTAGGATTAAGATGATTTTCTTGGCCAGGTGTGGTGGCTCATGCCTGTAATCCTAGTACTTTGGGAGGCCGAGGTAGGAGGATTGCTTGAGCTCAGGAGTTCAAGACCAGCCTGAGGAAGAACGTGACCCTGTTTCCAAAACAAAGAAAAATTAGCTAGGCATATGGTGTGTGCCTGTAGTCCCAGCTACTTGGGAGACTGAGGCAGGAGAATCACTTGAGCCTCAAGCGATTGAATCACAGGAGTTTGAGGTTGCAGTGAGCTGTGATGACACCACTACACTTGAGCCTGGGCAACAGAGCGAGACTCTGTCTCAAAAACAAAGAATTTCTTAAACTACTATACATAGATATAGAACAACAGCAATGTCAACCTGAAGCAGAATTATAGCTCTCATTTGGATTTTAAATACACTATTCATAATACCCACTATTTATTTATTTTTATTTTGTTGTGTTTTAATTTTATTTTATGACAGGGTCTTGCTCTGTTGCCCATGCTGGAATGTGATGGCACCATGACAGCTCACTGCAGCCTTGAACTCCTGGACTCAAGCAATCCTCCTGCCTTGGCCTCCCAAGTAGCTAGGACTACAGGTGTGTGCCACCATGCCAGGCTAATTTTTAAAATTTTTTTAGAGCTTGAGTCTCGGTATTTTGCCCAGGCTGGTCTTGAACTCCTGGCCTCAAGCCATTCTCCCACCATGGCCTCCCAAAGTGCTGGAATTATAGGTGTGAGCCACTGCACCCATCCCTACTGTTTATTAATTGCTTACTCTACCAGGCATTATGTTAATAGCTTAGAACCTTTCATCTCATTGAAGTCTTTTACTTATCTATTAATGTTAGGTGATAATAACCT